CAATCCTAAACCCTGGAACCCTAAACCCTAACCCCAAAATCCTAAACCCTGAAACCCTAAACCCCAAACCCTAAACCCTGAAACCCTAAACACTAAACCCTGAAACCCTAAACCCCAAAATCCTAAACCCCAAACCCTAAACCCCAAACCCTAAACCCCAACCCCTAAGCCCTAAACCCTATATAATCCCCTATATAACTCCCTTATGCTCCCTTTGAGGACTTTAGACTATAGCTCACATGAGAGATTCATGGTTCAGAGCCTGGCTGCGAGCCTTCCCATTCTCATGAGGACAATATGTAGATTCTGGGTCATGAATATGTATGTATATATATATATATGTATAGAAACCTATTGCCCTTTTTGAATATGCCATATGTTTTACCCCAATAATGGGGCGTGAAATGGACAAGAGCACGGAAAATTAGATGGGATCTGGTTTGTATAGGCCCTGTACAACCCAGATTCCATGAAATGTCCATCTTCTGTGCCATGTCATTCTCCATTATTGGGGGATATCGCTAAACCCCAAACCCCAAACCCTCTACCCCAAACCCTCTATATATCCTTTGCCCCTCTGTGACTCCCATTTCCCCCCAAACGCCTGTATCCCCTGCTTCTGCCGGCCCAACCAACTACCATGCTGAGCCCCGTGCCGGCACCAGTATAGTTGCTCATGCCACCCTTGCCGCCGTAGCCTTAGTTGTTAAGGACCTTAGGGCTACTATAAGTAAGGTATATAGCGTTAGGGTCTAGGGTGACTGCAACAACTGCAACAAAACAACCCCATTATTTACTGTCCACCCATATTATTGCAACTTTAACTTAATGTTCTTAACAGCAACCCAGTAGCCACCGGATTTGCCGCCGTAGGACTTGCCACCGCCGTAGCCTTTCCCGCCATAGCCTCCACCACATCCCATGCCACCACCATAACCGCCCCCACCGTAGCCATCCATGCCCCCGCCATACCCACCATAGCCTCCCATCATTCCGTAGCTGTCTTTGCCCTGGCCAAGCAGGGAAGATCACAGAGGCATCATGAGACTAACTATTTGTTTCGTCCCCTCAACTTCCCAATAACACCCAGCGAGTCTAGACGGGACGAATGACCGGGAAGCGCGCGCTGGTGGGAAGTCCTCTCAAACTAGGTAGGCTCATCACAGCACGAAACACCAGCACAGTTCATTGCATCAAAAAGGAAGCACTGCAGCTGCAACACTCTTATAACTTGAGTTCTTGTTTACCATAAACCCAATAAACCTATACAGATGCAGCGCACGCTCCTATCTAAACCTCGAACCCTGAATTACAACAATCTACTAGAAGCCATTGTCTTTTCCATGCCTCTGTATACCTCTACAAAAACCCCGTTTGTGGGCGGGGGGGTTGTCTTAGGGGAAGGCTCTAATGTAAGGGCCTAAATACTTGTAAGAAGATTTCCGAACTTTGCTTTACACACATATCATGGATTATGAAAGCTTAGAATTGGCAAGTCGGTAGGCTTACATATTACATTCTAAAAAAAACCTAAACCCTTCTCCCTAAATGATCTTGCCTTACCCTTGCCGTAGCCGCCACAGCCCCCGTAGCCGCCAGCATTGCCATTCGGGCCTGGATGTGTAGCTCCAGAGCCGGGGCTTAGGATGTAGGATCTAGGATGTAGGGTCGAGGGTTCGGGGGTTTATGGGTCAAGATTTAGGATGGTGCGCGCTCAGGGTTTAGGATGTAGGATTTACGGTTCAGGGCTTGGGGTCTAGGATTTAAGACTTAGGATGTAGGGTCCAGGGCTTGGAGTCTGGGATCTAAGACTTACGATGTAGGACTGGGCTCGGGGTTTAAGCTTAAGATTTAGGATGTAGGGTTCAGGGCTGGGGATCTAGGATTTGGGATACAGGGTTCGGGGCTTAGGGTTTAGGATGCGGGTTTAGGGTTACTGGATGAGCTACACGCTCCCCCAAAACAAAGATGGAGTCTGAAATGGAAGCCTTAAAGATTCTGCGAGTGGCCAACATAGGATTTCGTGCTGGTCGGGTTGTATGAGGCAGAAAGCTAGCACGAACCCTCAACACACAACTCCCTGACCCAGGGAGCTTGTCTTCGCACCCTTACGTTTGGATGCCTATAACTGGGGCATTTGGAACCCAAAGCCCGAGAGTACAAATCTTACGGGTACAAACTTAAAGGTCTTTACAGACTCTAAACTCTGAGCCCTAAACTCCCTGACACGTGCATCCACCAGCTTGTGAGTTTCCGCCTCTGGGCAGGTAGTTGGAGCACGGGTCATATCTTGCCGTTATGTTTTCTTCACACTTCGGCGTTTTTGGACCGTTTTATGGCGCTACCAGTGCATCCGCAGCAAGAGCATCCATGCCCAAAGCATAACATCGTTCTTGTTGCAAGAGCATACGTTCCCCAGAGCATCCATGCCCAAACCATAATAACATTCGTGCAATCGGAGAAGACAGCTGACCGTAATTTCTTCACGTCCGCATTGTGCCCTGACGCAGAGCATCGTGGAAAGTGGGTATCGGTCAATCAACAAACAGGTGAAGTTGGAACTCAAACACAAGAGGAGCTGATTTCGGAGCGCCAGTGCCGTGCAGTACTGCATCAGTCAGAGGAGTCCATGCATTGTCTTTTTGAGCAGATGGGCAGCCTTCAAGACAGGCTTGCCATTCAGGAGCTACGGCAACGCCAATGCTTCCTAAACCCCAAGAAGTGACTAAAACCAAGTAGTTTTTCTGCATTTGTAGGACTCACGATTCTGAAATCCTAGCAAGACCCAGGTAAAACGCACGCTTCGCTGCAAAAAAAAAACAGCAAGGCAAAATATGGCCCGTGGTCCGGGTAGTTTAGACGCTGTGACGCGGCTTTAGGGTTTAGGGTTTAAGGTAAAACCGCTGGAAGCCTTTTCTGTCGAACCTTGGTTTTGGTGTTAACCCTTCTCCTCAGAAGAACCCCGACCCATGCCCATAGTCGATGCCCCCCATGTGGTGCCATTATATATAAAGGGGATATTCATTTTGTTAGAGGGGGTGTTTCTTTGAAATGATGGGCCACATGATTACTTGGATGATGGTTGGAAGCATATATGCTAGACGTCATGAGTTGAGGTTCACAGGCTTCCTTTGAGGTTGGTTTAGGGTTTAGGGTTTGGGTTGTTCTGCAAGTGGTAAGCTTCAAGCAGGCGCGTCTTCTGTCTTGCCCCCTGATTTAAGATCATCTCAGGATAACTAGGGCTAAATCGGGGGGAAACCCGGGGTCAGTATAGGCCAGTCAGGGAAGCCCAGAAAAAGTTGTGTAGTCCAAGGTTTAAATTCAGGAGTCCAGGGCTTCCTATGAGGTGGCATGCTCTAGGGCCCGCACAAGCTTTTTGGTCCGATACCCAGCGCTGGAACCAGGGCCTTTGCATTGGCTTCCAATGCCTAAACCCAGGACCTTTTCGCACCTCAAATCAAGTCCTACAACCCTAAACCCTACATCCTAAACCCCAGAGTTCCTCCACAAAACAACGCCCATTGCAGGCTGGTAGTTGGTAGATGGCGAGTCTCCCAAGGAGGCCTTTCCATCTCTGTCACTAATGGGGTGTAAGAAGAGTCCTTATGGGAGCACTTTGAAAACTACCCGCTTGCGAATGGCGTCAACAAAAGGATCACAAGGTAGTTTTGTCGTTTTTGGCGAGGACTTCTTTCGAAGGAAGTGAATTTCCAAACTGAACTTAGACATTCACGGTCATTGAAACATGGGTATCCTGAGCCTCCAGGCACACCATGCCTGACGTACAAATGCCATGAGACCAACAGAAGCGCAAACCAATGTTTAGTTAGGACCTGGGCCCACATGCACCACTTGGAATCCACAAAATACTGTAACTATTGGGGTGTGTGGTGCAGATTCTCCTCCAGTCAAAGTTGCTGTACGCGGCACAGATATGCACAAATCCTGGCCACCTATATGGGGGTTTCCCAAGATTAGGGGTACCTTTTTGGGGGTCCCAATGATAAGGACTATAGTATTTGGGGGTCTATATTGGGGTCCCCTTATTTGGGGAAACTACCATATCAAGCACCCAAGAGACTTTAACCATGATCCGAACCCTGTAACCTCAACTCTCCATCTTATTCAGAAGCCAGACCCATTCGGAGAATCGCAGGTCCTCTCGTACATACAAATATAGTCCTCGCATTTTTTTACAAAGTCTGGCTTTCATTTCATACTACATTTCGTTCTCCATGATTCTGCCTATTTAACCTACACCCGAAAGCCTGAAACCTATCTAATCCCTGCCCCAATGTACCCCATACATTATCCCATTCTGACTGTTCGATGTGGCATGTAGAAAGCAGAAGATGGCTTTGGAGTCTCTTTGCAAAAAAAGAAGTTAAGCCCAACCCTAAACCCCAAACCCTATAACCTAAACCCTAAGCCTTGCTTCCGAGGTCCTAGCTGTGGGGCTGCCGCTTCGCTGACCTCCAGTGCAGCTCTGTGCTACTGCTGATTGTGGCCTTCTTCTTCTTGCTAATCCTCAGGACCTCCTCCTTCTAATGCTACTTCAGACTTCTTGTTCGACTACTACTACCACAACCCGGCACCACCACTGTGTCCGCTACTGCCACACCCACTGCCACTGCCACCACCGCCGCCACAACCGCCACCGCCACCGCCACCGCCACCGCCACCGCCACCGCCACCGCCACCGCCAGCGCCAGCGCCAGCGCCAGCGCCAGCGCCACCACCAACACCACCACCAACATCACCATCAGCATCACGACTACCACGACTGCTACTGCAACTGCAAGTGTTACTCTTACTGCTACGGCTACCTCACAGTATTATGGTAATCGCATTGCTCGGGCATATATGTCAACATAACCCGCTGTTTGACGACTACCCTGTTGCTATACTGAACTGCCCTCATTTCTAGGGCGCGGGGCTTAGAGTCCTAAGGGCTCAATGTTCACGGCCTAGGGAAACATGAGTGCACACTTGCATGTCTACATGTCCGCACTTTGTGGGACTGAATTACGGTATCCCACCACAAGACAGGGCTCAGGGTTCGAGAGCTTGGAGAAAGTGTAGGAGTGGATCCATGTCATAATCCCTACGCAATCCCCGTACCAGTTAATCAGCGATTTCAAGCTAATCAGTGATTTGTTGGAGCGAAGGGCTATGATCTCAAGCGTGATTTAGGGCATGGATTCCCTGTGCATGTCCTTCCCCAACCTCTGCAAAAGCTGGGGGTTGAGTTTCAGATTCAGGGTAGTTCTAAAGGTTACGGGTCAAAGCTTCGGGGTTGAAGGTTTAAGGGCCGGACTTAAGGTTTTTTGCCACTTGCATGGTCAATACGCAGCACAAGGGTCAATCCTGTGAACTCAGGCTCGCTCCTCCAGTCGAAATTGAGATGAGCTCTGGTCTAAACTCCTGGTATCCCCTTACTCATCCTTATAATACTCCCCTATGCAGTTCCCTAACCAAACCCCCCTCAAGGAGTTTGGACTATAGCTCAGATGCACTAACCTCCTCGATCTCGGCGGAAAGCTCACCTACGGCAACCTCCCCCGAAGCTCGCAATTGAGGCTTGAGGCGTGGGGTCAGGGTGTAGATTAAAGGTTTCACGTTGCAGGAGATTGCTAATGACCCAGCAGCGTCATGCAAGCAGAGAACCCTCCAAGAAGATCCAACCTAATGTATTCTCAAAGCTAAGGCGCCTATGAACCCTCGTGCTGGTGCAGTCCTTCAGAAAAGGCTCTCAGAAAAAGAATGGCCCGGCATTCTGGGCAACCCTAAACACTAAACCTTCTGAGGCCTCACCCTAGACCCTAAACTCGAGGGTTTCAGGCTTGTACGCCTAGCGTTGTACCCCTGGGTTTTGGGATCCTTTTAAGGGAATCTGGGGGACTACATTGGCCCATATAAGAGCTATATTAGGGCAATATTGGGGAAACCTTCTAGGGGTACGACATTAGGGGTACAACCCAGGAACCCTTGATAAACCCTAAACCCTGAACCCTAGACCCTAAACTTTGAGAAGCCAGAACCTGGTCCTGGCCTTGTCAACTACAACGGGAACGACCGTGTTCAGACCTGGGCCGCTTTTTGGGGGTACCATGTTAGGGTTTAGGGTTTAGGGTCTAGGGTTTAGGGTGGAACCTCCCAACAATCCCCTAGTTTCGCATGGGTGTCATTTTTGTGGCTTTGGGGCTTCATTTTCTGGATCCTGTAGGGGGTCTGGGTGTAGGAATCATTATGAAGACGATTTAAGTTTCATGTAGGGGCCAATAAACTCTTATGGGCTGTTAGATTCATAGGGACCATCTCTGGGTCATAAAGGGTCATGTAGGGGTCCACACAGATATCTAGGGCTTCTATAGGGGTTTATAGGGGTTGTAATCCCAAGGCGTGGATGATCAAGGACAAGTTCTGGGATGTAATATGCTTCACTTACCTGAGGATGACATTGGGGACTGTTGATAATCATCCTAAGGTACAGGGTTCCAGGTTTGAAGCGGTGAAGGGTTGAGGTTTAGATGTTAAAGGTCTTTGGTTGTAAGTTCATGGGCCCTAAGCCCTAAACTTCTTCCTGAGATCAGCGAGAGGGAGGGCCCCAGCGT